GAGAGAGAGAGAGAGAGAGAGAGAGAGAGAGAGAGAGAGAGAGAGAGAGAGAGAGAGAGAGAGATTGAGAGAGAGTTTTCCATCGATTGGTCGAGTTCTGCACCGGCCAACAGGTAAGTCTCCAACCCCACGGCTGGCCTCACGCTACTTCCTTAGATAGGATGAGCAAAATCGTATGAATCTTCCGCTAGAACATCGAAATATACACTTCTACACGTGTGTGTGTGTGTGTGTGTGCCCCCGCGGCTGGCCTCACGCTACTTCCATAGATAGGGTGAGAAAAATCGAATGAATCTTCCACTAGAACATCGAAATATACACTGGTACACGTGTGTGTGTGTGTATCTGTGTGTGTGTGTGTGTGTGTGTGTGTGTGTGTGTGTGTGTGTTGGCGGCTCTAGCCTCATGCCGCCCTTTACTTCCTTGAGGCTAGCATTTGGCGGAAACCAGATCTAACTGCCATGGTTGACTTAACCACGGCCTTCACCAAAGGGTTGCGAGATCAGCACCACGCCAAGGGTTACAGGGCCGAGACGTCAGGAGAGTGGGGCCGCTGATTCTGAGTGAGCCTTTTTTCTATGAACACTACAAGACCTATAGTTGGCAAGACATAAAATCATGCGGACTATACGGGAGGTGTTAGAAGCGCCGGTCAACTAACAAGGGCGAGTGGCCCGAACTTGCACTAGGATGAAGCGGTGTGCGTGACGAGAGAGGGCGCACGGCTCTTGCGGCGAGCCTTCAGGCGAACTAAGGGGCGATGACACACGTGGATCACCGCAGGCCCAAGAAAGTAGGAAACTATTGCGCGAACATTTACGAGACATTTAGGCCGTAAGTGAAGCCAAAGGGAAGCCGTCAGGCCTAAGGCTGAGAGTGAGGCCCTTAGGCCATAAAATTATTCCCAGGTACCCGGCCTTGCGAATTTTGCTGCGGCCTTGTTACTAATAGTGTGGGGACCACTAGAGCCTGGACAAGCCCCGGCGTAGATTCAGAAAGAGCCCCGGTACTATGGCGCTGCAAAAAGGTCGGTACACGTCAAAAAGGCACCCTTGGCACGAAACCTTTCGAGGCCCCAAATAGGCCCGGGCGTAGGCTCGGAGAGAGCCCTAGTACCAGGCACTGCAACTTGTCGGCAACCTCGAGGTATGTGGATGTTAAGGCTCAGTCCGAGATGGGCTGGACAAACTATATAAGCCCAACCGGGCCCGGGATGGGGGGACTTCGGACTTGTGTACATTCAGGCGCACCACGGGAGCTGAGAGAGAAGATGTGAAGGAGCCAAGGAGCAGCTCGGGACGAAGACGACGCACAAAGGAGGTAGGGAGGAAGAGGGGTCGGCTATGGACATGCACGTGCTCACCATAGCCGCGCCCAAACATGCACGTGCGCGCAACAACCACGCCCAGACACGCACTTGTGCATCATAGCCGCGCCCAGTGACGTACGTGCGTGCCACATCTGCGCACAACCAGATTGGCCGCGGGCACGGGCGCGCAATCTCGCAGGGGCCCGCGCGCACCGCCAAGATCCACTCGCACGGGCATGCAATCACGCAAGACTCCGCGCATTGCCAAGACCCGCGCGCACGGGCGCGCAATCGCACACAGTCCCCGCGTGCACGGGCGCGCAATCGCACACAGTCCCCGCGCACTGCCAAGATCCGCAATCGCACACGGTCCTTGCGCACTGCGAAGATCCTCGTGCACGGCCCCCTCGCACTGCTAAGATCCGCGGGCACGGGCGCGCTTTCGCACAAAGCCCCGCACGCTGTCAGTCGGGCACAAGCACTAGCGCACAGCCAAGCACGGTCGGGACGATCGTGCGAGCGGGCACGCATCAACGCGCAGCCCTGGGCACGGTCGAGACGATCGCGCGCACGGGCGCGCATCGGCGTACAACCGTGCTCCAGGGTGCAAGCCTGCGCATAGTCAGAGAGGCGCGCGCACCAGCGCGCAACTTCCCACGCACGGGCTGAACGTCGCGCGTACGGGTGTGCACTAGCACGCAAGTCCTCGTGCAGCCTGAGTAGCGCGCACCAGCGCGAGGGCACTCGGAATCGGGAAGGGAGGCGCGCATGAGTGCGTTGTCGGAATGCACGTTCAGCGCTCAGGCAGAACAGCTGCACACACGCGCGCGCGGTAACGTGCGGCGCAGTCGGAGCATCCGTCGCACGAGCGCGTGGTCATCCCCGACCCTGCGCCCAGCTGACGTTCCACATGCGGCCCAACGGACAGCCCCAGATTGCGAGACACGGACAGGGACTTTGGAACGGGACCACGAGACCTCGACGGGGACTGATTTCGAAGGAGGCGTGGACTGGGACTTCAATCGGGGGACTTTGAGGACACGGACCAAGACTTGACTAGGACAGCGAACTTTGACCCGAATGCATACCAGGATTTGACCGGGACATGGCCAGGAGCCTTCTTGGGATGCACGGGTCCTTTTCATCGGCCAGGACCACGGGACTTTGACCAGGACATGGGCCAAAATTTATTGAGCTGGGACTTTAAACGGACTACGGGACTTTGACCGGGGTTTTATCATCCGTGACCGTGGGACTTCATTGGCAGGACTGCAGATGGCAGGACTGCAGATGGCAGGACTGCAGAATTCTGATCGGGGCGCGGACTGGGCCTTATCGATCGGGAACTACGGGCCCGAGCTGGTACTTATTGACCAGGGACTACGGAACACGAACTAGAACTTTATTGACCAGGGACTATGGAGCACGAGCTGGAAGATCATTGACAGGGAAGTACTGGACACGCTGTGGGACTTGACTAGGACATGTTCCGGGACCTTGATCAGGACTTAGGCAGGGACGTTATTGAACGAGACTCGGTGCGGACACTTGGCCAGGAGCTAGTATTGACCGGGACTTCAGCCGAGGCACGACAGGGAGCCTTCTTATCGGTGACAGGGCATGGAGGCATGGTAAAGCTCGACCTCGAGCTATGGCCTCAATGGGCCCGTGTGTCCACCTCGGACACTGAGAGCTCCAGCACGGTGTTTGGGATCAGCGAGCCCGCTACCAGCGACATCCGATAGGGAGAAGAATACGTCGTAGGTTGTCTGTACGGTCGGTTGGAACTCAGACAGATTTCCCTGAAATGGATATTGTACCTGTTTCTGGGACCGGGTGCAGCGCGACGGACCCTATTGTTTTGGATTGAATATAATGTTTAATTTGTTCCTTCCAGCGACTTGTCAGCAAGTTTCATGATTTGGTCATCTTCGCTTGTTATGCTAACTTGTTTGTTGTCGTGACAGACTGGCCATCCCTTCAGATTGAAGGAGCCCCGAGCGACCCTCCCGTGGGTGACAGATATGGGGTGAGATACAGGGATCGATAGGCGTGCCAGCAGACCCTTTCTACCGGTTGACAACGGTAACAGGATTTGAACTTCAGATCTGTTTATCAACAGTCTGCGGTTTACCATTCGGATTTCGATGGATGCCCTGAAGGACATCCTGAGACAGTCTTCGAATCCAGGAATGGCCAAAATCACCTACCGGCTATTCTGCTGACTGTGGAGGGGTCAATGGGGAGCCTCAATTTGCTGTGCTCAAAACATGTGCTGTGCAAACAACTTGTTCGAGTCTTACGAATTGTCTTCTTCGTTTTCTTATCATATTGGGAAGAAAGGTGATGCTCTCACTGAGATGAATCACAGGGTGAAAAAGAAACCCACAATGCTTCTCATATCGGCCTATTCCACAATGAATGAATGGTGTGTCCTCATGGGTGGGTGGGTGGGTGTTGTGTGCAGCGTACAGCAAGCATGATCGACCGTCGTTACATGATGAAGTATGGAGACTGAAGAACATTGGGAAAGGTGGGAAGTTCCACAATAAGCTGAAGAGTATCGGTGTGCATACTGTAGAACAGTTCCTTCGGCTTGTCATGCGCAACCCAGCGTTGCTAAGAAAGGTCGGTTGGTGCTTTTATCTTACCTCCTGGGTGCTGGTCTTCTTTTCCCCTGATGACCTGATTGATGACCAACTTCTCAGCCATACTAAATCCTCGCTTTGGGCTCACTTACACTCGGACTTACACTATGGGAGTAGTCACACCCGCTGTTTTCCACCCAAACCTTCTCCTTAAATGTCTTCTCGTCTGACTGTCAATCCCCAGACTGCAGCAAAGCTCAGAGTCGCAAAATGAAACTACTTTGGCCCAGACTCACAAAAAGTAAAGCCACCTTAAGAGGTGGGTGATCTCTCTCTCTCTCTCTCTCTCTCTCTCTCTCTCTCTCTCTCTCTCTCTCTCTCTCTCTCTCTCTCTATCTGTCTCTCTCTCTCTCTCTCTGTGTCTTTCTCTCTCTCTCTTTCTCTCAAATTTCTTTCTCTCTCTCTCTCTCACACCACCGAACTTTCGG